TATTGCGAAACTAACAGTCGTTTATTAGCTCAAGATATTCACTGATATGCATTAAATAAAAAAATTCGTTACCTTGAAATCTGAGGTTCTCACGGTGGAAGATCTGATCACTATGGCCTTCGGAGTCTAAAAATTATAAAGTTCAAAATATAACCAAAAGACAATGGGAAAATTGTTGTTCATGTATCTTCGGTCGCCGGTCACGGTAGCCGAGCGTTCTGAGGCGTCAACTGTCTTCGCTTGTTCAGAAACCGAGATCGTGGGTTCGAATCCCACAGACGGTATGGATATTTGGTATGTGTATGTGTTTATTCTGTGTTTGTGTTGTCCTGTGTTTATTTAGAGGCCTTGCGAAGGGCTGATCACCCGTCCAAGGAGTCTTACAGTCTGTAAAATGATCAAAATGAAGACGGGACAACCTTGATACCGTAAGGTATAAGAGGAACGGATTAAGTAAATAAGGAAATATCATCTAGCACAGAAAATGTAGCAAACCCTATTAAAAAACTTCTAAGGCACGGAATTAACAACCAAATCAAACCAAATGTAATTACTCAGAATAGGAGAACATTAACCACGATAAGTAATTCAACAGCAAAATGCATTTGCTTCTTGACGCCATGTAAGCTCTTAGATAGGCACTATCGTTTCGAAGAACCCTGTCGTTGCCAGTCTTCTGTCCTGAAGATACAGGCAATATGATTCGCCGAAACGCTGGCATCTATCCTTATCATAGCTCAGCAGATGGTGATCTAAAACCGTTATCTTCTATGCGAGCCCCCCCCCCCTAAACTGAACCCCGCTTTTAGTGACCCCAGTAGGGCCCATACTCTCATTCCATTTTCTTTTAAAATTGGTTTGTAGCCTAGTTATTTTTTAAAAAACAAAAGCAGGCTCATGAGATCACGTTGTATCTCTCTGCGCCTCTCCACCTGCCTGTGTATCTCCCATAGTTTCTGGGCTTATGCGATCGACTTGCTGTCTGTGTGTTTAACCATCTATACATCTCCATCTGCTTAAATATCCTCCTTAGTTTCTAGGTTAATGAGGTCATCTTGCTGTCTCTAGAACCCTAGTAACTTCTGTTAAGAGGCTTATGAAAACGCCTTGCTACCTCTATGCACGCCCCCTATTTTTTTGTTTTTCTTTGCTGTCCGTGTAGTATCAAAGGAAAGTACGTAGGTGATTAACTCTTCCAAGAACTTATTATTAATATTTTCTGCCCAACTGTGCCCTCTAAATAGAGCTCTCTTTATCATTTTTCTAATTAACATTTACACTTCTCGTATGATTTGTTCTGCCTTAAATATGTCACTGTGTTTAAGTACCTCTCCATTGAGATGTATGGGGGACGTGAGGTATAGCTTGAATAATTGTGAACCTCGACTCTGGATGATGGTGGGCGATCAGCTTCACGCCCCGGCCGTTAACTCTCTAGGAAAGAACGGCCTCAGTTGGTTCAGATGTTGTGAGAAACAGAAATATCTTGCCTCTACTGGGAATCGAATCCCATTTTTTTGTTTTTGCAGCCCATGACATGACCACTAAGACAGACAGACTATCGTTTTATTTGTCTGAACCACTATCATCAATAAATGAACAAGTTGATATACCTACCTACCTACCTACCTACCTACCTACCTAGCCACCTAATTGTCTATCTGCCTATGGCTCTACAACCCTCTCTTGGACCTTGGTCCATTTTTCAGTTTCTTGATCGTTTACAAAGTCGGTACAACTCCTTGGACGGGTGATCAGTACGTTGCAAGACCGTTACCTACACACAGGACAACACAGACACAGAACAAACTCGCACAGACATCTATGTCTTCAGTGGGATTCGAACCCACCATCCCAATGTTCGAGCGGGTGAAGACAGTACATGAACTTAGACCGCGCGGCCACTGCGATTGGCCAAGATGTAACATACAAGTACTGTTTTCTGTGTATGTGAGATAATTACATTCATCCGCGAGGAAGGGGCGTGGCTGATAGAAACAAGTGGACTCAGGGAAGTCTGCAGTGTTGCCGCTTGTGCAGAGATGATGATGATGAGGGCAGACAATGGGAGAAACGTACTAAATTCGTACCAACTGTTTCTTATTGATTTGTAGAAATCGCACTTCTGACTGACACGATAAAAAGTTCTAGAAAAGTACCAATTACTTTCCATCGGAGTAAAAAGAAGATACTGACACAATTTAATTTTCTGTCCTTTGTGCACAGCAAAATAAAAAAAAAAGGACAGATCGTTTTGGGAGACTGGATCTGTTTCCTTCCAGTGGATCAGTGACTGACCGCCTCCGTGGTCTAGTGGTCAGAGTTCCTGGCTACAGATCCAGATTTTTTCGGAGTAGTGGGTCTGGAACGGGGTCCACTCAGCCTCGTGATGATAATTGAGGAGCTATTTCAAGGAAATAGCGGCTCCGGTCTAGAAAACCGAAATTAACGGACGTGGGGATTCGTTGCGCTGACCACGCGACACCCTCTATCCGCAAAAGTTGGCACTAACTTCGCCGACAAGCGGCGGTCGCTCGGTCGGTATAGTTCGCTTGCGGACTAAAATCACGGAGTTTGTTTTTCCTTGGATCAGTGACTGTGTCAGTTCTACCTAGAGGAAGCAACTGAGTAAGTGCATCTCATTTTGCACTTATGTTTATGCAGGGCAGAGTCAGTGCCTCACGAAATGCCTCAGTCACGCAGACTGTCACGCTGAAACCAATGTTGGAGGCGCGTAAGCAGTTACTACGATGCTAGAAATCTCGTGCCCAAAGCGACATTTCAAAGCACCGTGTCTGGCAAGCTAAACTGCATATACACAGGTGACATGTCAATTATACCAACGCCCATACTGACGTGTTATGACACTATACTTTTCTTGGGATGTTGTCATAAGAAGCCTCATAATGAATTCCTTGTTATGAGCTGTCAATCTGCGGTCTGCATGCATGCACGCTTTTGGCCCTGAATTATGAAGAGGCGGAACTAAGACATTGTCTATAGACTAATGTGAGAGTAAACATCCGTGAAGAACTCTGAATCACAACATGCCAACAACGACAATATTTTTTTTATTGCTAGTGGGGTGGGACTAAGTCCCTTGTACTGCGGCCACTTCTGGCCTATTGTACCAGCTCCAGATGATAGGTGAGGGTGATTGTGGAGCAATTGGTGGAATGAAGATTGGCAGGAGAAACCGAAGTACTCGGAGAAAACCTGCCCCAGCGCCACTTTGTCCACCACAAATCCCACTTACCCAGACCCGGGATCGAAACCGGGCCGCCGCGATGGGAAGTCAGCGACTAGCCGCTTGAGCCATGGCGCGGCCATTAACGACAATAACTCAGAAGCAGGCTTGAAATAACAATGGCGGACACTGTGATGTTCGGGTTTGTAGTGTTGAGTAGAATTGTGGGTGGATATAAATGTTTCCGAGGAACACACAGCTTCTATATTAGTTTCGACACCGAATATGGAAGCAGAATTTCCTGCGAAACGTTGCTATCCACTTAACATACTGCACGGTGTCACACCTCTGAAGGTTACACTCGCCAGACCTCAGTATGCAGATTCAAATCTTCTAAAGCTATGATAACTCTGTGTTATGCCTGCTTGCTATTCCAGGAGTTCATTAGGCATATCTGGGAGTAACAGGAACAGCCACAAACCGGACTTATGATTAAACTACGAGGAAAACAGACTTTGTTTATGAAAGCTAACACACTGACACTCCACATCCTGTCCAAAGCATTAGAGATGGCTTAAGGTTACAATAAACAATAAGTTTGTATAGGTGGAATCGGCATAGCGATGAGCTACGTGCTGGACGACCTGAGTTCGATTTTCCGTAGGAGTAAATTTTCCTTCTCTCCGCAGTGTGCAGACCTGCTCTGATATCCATTAAGCCTTCTAACCAATGGTTGACGGTAGTTCTTTTCCCGGGG